ACTGGAGGAATATATACAAAAATGAAGTAGATTGATCCTTCTGAAGATTTTAATTTCACACAAGTCGCATCCATAGCATCAGACCAGAAGCCCTTGAGTTGAATACAATCCACGTTGAACGATTTTCTTACCAGTCACATCTAGATGTACAATGAATCCTTTCAGATTCCAACCGGGATTAGAGGCTGTAAGCCAAGTTTCCGTTATTGTCATTAGATCCAAGTTTCCTTTATAAGCTAACGTTTCCAAATTCACCTTTTTAATTAAGATACTCCTAGCGTTCCACATTGCGCATCTAAAAATTGTTTTTGAATGAGAACTCATTTTAAACATCTTTAATTAAATTCAAATTAAACTTACACAAACAATAATCTGCTACTTAAATAAGATTTATTATCTTTTTTTTCCTATAATTTCAATTACAAAATTATTAATATATTATGTTGTCAAGATACTTTAATTTGAACCAACTTGACTTAACTCATAACAGCCAAACTTATCATTCAAAGTTATTTGAATTAATGAAACAGATTAAAAAACAGAACTTAATGTTCGAAAATACCTAAACTAGAGATACCAAATCAACTGCATCATTATACCCTCAATAACTCATACCAATCAAACTTAAAATTATCTGAATTAATGCAACAAATTATCAAGTAAACATAATCTACAAAAATATCTCAAACAATAATAACAGATCAACTATCTAAATCAGGAAAATTAGTTCTAAGAACAGAAAACAAGACACTTTCCTTTTTTTACAAGTATAGTTAATTATCTTTTAATTGCCAAACAGAAAACACTAAACTCTTTCGTTCTCCTGCTCCCCGATGTGTGCTGTCAACGAATCAAACGATGATGTCTGTTTGTCATCATCCATTTTATTCTGGTCTTGTTCTTGTTGTTGGGTAGACTCCAGATGCAGTTTGCTTTTAATCCCGTCGAATATCAAATTATCATTTTCCATTTCTCCTAGCCGCCGAAGACCCAGATTTGCTCTAGATGCTGAGTCCAAATCTTTCAAACTTCGTTCGTCATCCTCTTGTTCACTCCGAATAGGATGCAGTTCCGAGAGATGGTCTGAGCCCGAATTCTGAGAATATACTGGGGAATTAAATACTCTTGGATTGATCCATCCTTGCTGTACAAATTATTACGTGCTTCACTCTCAGATATATTGTACAAATATCTTTCCTTCATCACATCGAATTCGAATTTATAAACCGGGAAATCTCTCGATGAAGATTTGTGGTTTCTCGCACAATTGAAACATTTACTAGAAGAACGAGGATCATTACAATCATTCGTAGAGTGTTTGCCTGCGCAATGCTTACAATTGGGTGAAGATGTCCTGCATTGATCCTTAACATGCCCGAAATGTTGGCATATAAAACACCTCTTTGGAATCGGGATGGAAGGCGGAATGAAGATTCTCACACTCAAAGCGAAAATGTATCTGGGTACATAAGTTGTCCCGAATACTAAGTCTATGATATTTGAGGGTTGACCATCTGATCGGCTTATCCTTCTGCGTGCTGAAATTATCAGGCCTTTCTGTTCTTCATCTAAATTTTCCATAATTTCCGAAACAGAGTGATCCGGAAGTATCCTGATGAAGCCCTTTTTATATAGCATATATTCAGGTATGAACGTTTTATAACCTTTTTGCAATAATACCTCAGACGAGAGTAACAAATTAGCATCTTCCTTATTTTGACACACTATTTTTATGTGATTACGGCCACTTATAAATATTCTTCTGCTGCCTTGGATTATGCCAGCAATGAGCTTTCCTACAGCAACGGGATCATATCTTCCTATGTTTCTGTTACTGGTTGACGATTCCATTAAAACCAAAAATCCTCTACAATAATCCTGACGGATTTACCAATTAATTAAACCTTAGTTTTATCATTATTTCCTGATTCTATCAGAATCTAATTTGTGGTTGAGGGGATCTGGTGTTTGAATTTAAATCTTCCCGCCTCCTTTGGTCCTAGCTAAACCTTTCCTTTCCAGCCTCCCTGCCTCTATGAAGCTAGGTACGCATTGTGCCGCTTACGCATGCGCTTTAAAACACTAAACGGAACAATTAACTGCTGAACATTATAACCTATACTGTAGTATTTGGAGCATTTATATGAAGATTAATGTGATTTAGTAACAAAATTTTACAAAGTGAATTGAATTGTCCTGAATATTTCGAAGCCACAACATCCCTACCGATCTTTGGAAAGGTAGAAGAAGAAGAAGCAGAAGAATTCTTACTGTATATTACTTTCGACATTTTACTTTTGTTGTTTATCGTTATTCCTTGTCAGTGATTCATGTTTGTCAGTTAGAAGATTACTCTTATATATTCGAATTTATTAATACAGATATACTATTAATACGACATAAGATATAGAGTGAAAGAACTAAATGATGAGTGGATAATAGACAAATTATTATGGGTAAGTATATTATAGATATTTTTACAAACTACTTTTTAAATATTTCCTTCACAGATTGCTAAGTTACGATGTCTCCTAAATCAAGTTCTACATCATATCGTCAAGAGTACGAAAATGAATTTGAGTGGGTTAAAAAATATCCTACATTTAAAAATAAAGCAATATGTGTATGGTGTAAAAAAGATTTGGACCTTTCATCAATGGGAAAGTCTGCTCTTAAAAGTCACCAATCGAAATCGAGAACACATATTTCACAGGTTGAAAACAGAAAAAAATGTCTTCAGCTAAATATGATTATTAAAAACCCTCAATCTAAGTTTAATCAAGACCTTACTCAAGAGACAGTAGCAGCAGTTAATATAATAGGTGTACTTTTCTTTTCAATTTTTTTGTTCGAATGTAGAGAGTATATTTTTACAAAATATTGTCAAGGTGATATTTTTTCAGATTCTTGGAAATGTTATGAATCACACATCATTTCGAAGTGCAGCTAGTTCTGCTTCCATGTTTCAAATTATGTTTCCGGATAGCGTAATTACTGTAAATTAAAATTGCAAAGAACAAAATTAGCATATAGCATTGTATACGGTATAGCTCCATATCTCACGCAGTGTCTGCAAAATTTGTTGGAAAAATGTAACCAAATAGTAGTCGGATTTGACGAATATTTCAGAAAACGTTAAAAAAATAATCCAACTTTCAATGGACGGCTGAAATGTTAATTTGAGACTTCAGTCTGATTTATCTCAACATATTAAGGAAAAGGATGAAAACAAGGATCTTTTGGAATTAGGTACTTGCAGATTACACACACTTCACGGATCTTTGAAGACTTACATAAAATTAGTTAACTGGATTGTAGTACAATTTTTACGTTCTGCCTACAATCTGTTCAAAAGTGTACCAGCACGCAGAACCGACTATTCAAATTATACAAAAAGCAGTATTTTTCCAAGCAAATTTTGTGATACTCGGTGGGTTGAAAGTGCTTCAGTTGCAGAAACAGCTCAAAGTATTTTACCTCAACTGACTGAGTATGTAAAGTGTGCGATCAAAGAAAAAAAAGCTCCAAAAAAGGAGAGTTTCGAAATTGTATCAGAAGCTTTAAAGGATCCATTTCTTGTACCTAAATTAACTTTTTTCCGTTCATTATCTTTAATTTTAGAACCTTTTCTTTTGCACTTTCAATCTAAATCGCCGTTGGTTTACTCCATTTTGATCCGCTGTGTGAAAAACGAAGTCATTTTAAAAGCTGAAATATTTAAATACTGATAAGAAAAGAATGAATTCTTGTCTTAAGATTTTGGTCGAAAAAAAAGCTGAAGAAGATTTTGAAAATGTCTCTGAAATAATGAGGATTGTGCTCCTTCTTTCGCATCACAGAAAAAACCTTGTTTCATTTTTGATGCAAATCAAAATGAGCCAATGCTAAACGACATAGACAGTGGCGCCACCAACCTGGTTCATTTTTGTTGCACATCAAAATGAGCCGCCTACACGGCTCATTCTGAGTTAAGTTTTTTTCTGTGATGGTAATGTGGCTTTTCAGTTAATAAAGAATGCTTAATTGAAAATCAACAAAAAGAAAGTCTTGTAGCGATCAGAAAAGTTTACGATGCAGTTAAGGAAGCAGGTAATATAGAGTCATTCGATCTATAAAAAAACTTAATCCATCATTTTCGAGTTGCACATTCAGTTTACCAAAATAATCTAAAAAGAAAACGCGAAGAAGAAGAGTCTGCACTCGCAGCAGAAGAAAGAGAAAACGCATTGCTAAAGAAAAAAAAGAGTTGAAGGCCAAGCGGATAAAATTTTGAGCAGAAGCACAGAAAGAAGTTGATTTAATTGACAAGGAGATTGATTCTTTAGGAAAATAATCATACCATTTTCAGCATCAAAATTTCTTTTAAGATAGTTTCATAAAGACTGATTGCCATAAAAATTTGTGTTTAAATATTTTAAATATGAATAATATATTAAATATTATATTTAATGCGCAGATTTGAGCTTTACAAGTATATATATTAATAAGTAAAATAATATAAACTGTTATACAGTTCACTTACTGGGAGTTCTTTTTTAAAAAAATTTATTGTACTCGATGTTTTGTGATATGACGATTGGAGAATAAGAAATAGTATTTACATTCCTAAAATTTAAAATGTATTTCTTAAAGACTGAAAAATATTTTCTGAAGTATATTATTTTTTGTTTAAATATTTCCCATTTTTACACGTTTTCCCTAAATTGAAAAATATTTATTAAAATGTCTACTATACTTAATAAAATTTGTTACATATTTTATTTCAATGTAGTTCATAAAACTTAAATTTGATAAATTTTCATAGAGTGTTTTTAGTGATCATTATTTTATACAATTGCATATTACATAAACATAATAGATTTGTGTAAAGAAAAAATGTATTTTAAAACCGGGAGAAATCTCTAATTTCTACCGGGAGAAAACCGGGAGTCAAAATTTCTAAAAATAGTGGCCACCCTGCATTAGTTAAAAAATAAATTTTTTGCAACATATGTTATCAGGGTTCTTTCTAATAAGTACAACGTTACCGCTTTGGAGTGGGATTTACCAGGAGATAAACTAGTAATCGCCGATTCAGCTGGATATGTTCAACTGTGGGTTTTTAAAGACCATGTTTTAAATGAATGGGTTCCTATTGGTTCTACTTATTTTCCCGGAGAACACATTTTAGGCGCCGCATGGTTTCACAATGGCAAAAAGGTATTTTACCTCTTTACTTTATTAAAATTTTCAACCTTACAGTAATTAAAAATTGTTTTGTCGTTTATATTATATTTGATAAAAATGTCTCTTTCAGAATATTCTTTTATTTAAAATTTTGATTCTTACCTTTTATTTACCAACAAGTTGGAAGTAATGTTTATTAATAATGTCGAGAACCTTAATCGTTTATAATAATTCTAAAACAATATTTTTCATTAAATTTAAAAAATTTTATGAAAGGAATGATTAGAAAGTAGGTACGTTTTAGTAATTTCTGATAAATCAAATACAATTCTTTGGGGGAAATTTATTAAAGTTTTAAAAATAAATTGATCAGAATGCTGAATATGGGGATATATTTGTCTCACTGATAACTTTTGTCAAAGAAACTAGAAAAGTTTATTATAGTTACCATATAACTGTGGTAAATATTTTATTTTTAACAATAGTTATCAGTGGCACAGATGTAGCCTCAAATTACTCGTCACCATAGAAAATTCTTACAAGGAAAAGTTTTTCAGTGTATGAAATATTAAAGTTTTTGACATTAAACATTTTCAGACTGGTCTCATAGTCGAGAAAAAAGATAGTCTGCAGTACAGTGAGAAATTCAATCATTTACTCTTCGCACCTTCGGTGAGACAGTTCGGTGGCAGAGCTGCGGAAGGAGTTATAGTTGTGTCCACTACTGGAATGGTTGGCGCTGTAATGATTACAAAAGATATTCAGAATCCAGTATCATTTGCCACCGAAAGTCTTGGAAGTATTCGCCAACGTATAATGGCAGTTGACATCTGTTATGGAAAAAGTAAGTTACGTAATAATAAATTTAACCGCTTTTGACTTCAAAAATTAAAATATTTTTATTTTTTAAATTCTCACGACCCATAAATTTATTCAACTTTATGAAAAAATGTATACTGCAATAAATACTAAGTTAACGATTTTGTAATTACAATAATAAAAAAGTATGTTTGTGGCAAGATTAACAACAAAATTACAAATGACTACTCGGGGATTTTCGGGGTCCCTGATTACGAATCCGATTTCAGTTTTTTCAAAATTGAAAATGGCGGATCCAATATGTCGGACAACTTTTTTAAATGTTGGTCCAAATTGCCTGAGAATTAAACAACTATGATCAAATGCCTAATGCAGAAATGAAGTTGTTCGACATTTTGAATTTTGTAAAACTGAAATCGTATTCGTAATCAGCGACCCTGAAAACCTCTATATGCGATTCATTAAAAACTCGATGGATATAATAACCCCTGGAATGGCATAAGAAACCCGTTAATGATATTTAAATTATTACTAAAACTAATAAAACACGTGAGACCGAGAGAAATTTATAAACATTTTTCTTACCTAGACGGTCATTTTGTCGTGGCTGTAAGTAGTGGAAACATTGGACATCCTATTAGATGCTACAGAGTTCTTGTGCGCAAAACTGATGAAAAATGTGTAATATCCTCTCTAGCTTTGCCTAGTTTTTTTCTGCAAGATGGTGCACCTAAGGATAACTTCTGTAAGTTGCTAATTTAAAAATATTCGAAAATAGCGACAACATTTTTTTAATAATAAACTATGTAGCTGAATTGGAAATTCTTTGTATTTTCTCCATTTAGCAACTACAGTGATGCGTTTGAAGTTTGTAGTACGTGAAGCACCTGACACTCTAGTTGTGGCAGCAAATACCGAAAACAGCGGTTTCGTTGAACTGTGGGAATTGAGAGAAAAATCACAACCAGTTCATAATTTGTTTCAACTAAAAACGCTCGATCCCTATAAGACTGTGGTATCTATTTTTTAATAAAATTAACTTTATTCACCTGATTCTATTACTTATTTAATGGCTGAATAATAAGATTTGCTTTAAATTTTGATTGTGAATTTTTGTTACGTTAAAAAAACTAGGTTTGGCAACATCAAGCACATTACAAAAGTCATTCTCCTATTACTGCAATCGCAACTAGCAAACTTTCAATTTCGACGTCACTTCCGCCTTCAAGTTATATTTTTGTTGCTTTGGCTGATTCGTCCATTCGTTGCTTAAATCATGAATCTCTGAAAGAACTAACTGTTTCGTCTGTAAACATGGCTCGCTATCAAGACGAACCGAGTAATAAATATTTGAAGACGAATGTGTCCATTTCACACATTGATATTTCATGGCTTGGCTGCGTACTTACTACTTGTGATACTCATGGAAACTTATATTTATACAAATTGCTACCTGAAGGTATGAATTTATATTTATGGATTGGTAAAAAGTCTTATTTTTGCTTGGATTATTTTTTTATAAAAAGTAATTTTATTATTGAGTCATTCCATCAATTATTTTGACTGCAGTAGTTGTCGGCTAATTTTAAAAAATTATAATACTTTGCAGGAATTAATTTAAAGATATCAGAATCACGAAATAAAAAGAATTAAAAATTTTTTTTATTATAAACTATGAATTTAGGGGAAGGTGGGTGAATTAGAGACCCTTAAGGAAAATGATTAAAAAAAACCAATTTATTCTAATAATAAAATATTGTTTTGGTCCTTTTTTTAATCCTTTTGTTATTTATCTTTAATTATAATTAATTAGAAATTCAGAAAAAAAAGTAAATTTGCAAAAAAAAAATTTTTTCTAAAAAATTGCATTTCTCACAATATCCCACTTGTGGGGCTCTTATCTGAAATTCTAATAAAATGATATAATTTCTATTTTCTTTAAATATTTCTTTATTTTGTCAATAGTTCTCAACATATGAACATTTAACAAAGTATTTAAGACAAAAAAAGACTTACAGCTTCTTTAGTTTTAAAATATCCAATAATAACACATTTTATACAATAAAATACAAATATGGACTTTTAGCAATTAAATATGCAACAATATCAAATTTTATAAATGAATCTTTTTCAATTTTCAAAGAAATAAGAAAAGCCATATCGAGGTAGCGAGACTCTACTGGCTGACTCAATTTTCCCATTGCCTACTCCAAAAAATTTTCACAGGTTAAAACCGTTAAAAATTATGTCTGCTTTGTTGCAAAAAAAAGTAAAAAAATGCTTAAAATTCAAAATAATATTCAAACGAAGCTAAAGGTTTTACTGGATCAATTTGATTTTTCTGATAAAAGTGTTCCTGATGTGATATATTTTGCCTGCAATTTATCTGTGGATAAGGCACTAAATTATAAAAAACGGTTTGATGTTCCTGATGAAGAAAAGAACGCGTTCTTTCTTTTATTGATGTAAATATACTAATATATTACATTAATATATTACTTTGTTTTGTTCTACATGGTGAATTTATAGATTGACGACGACTCTTTTCGTAACTATCGACACGAACACAAACATACTCCATGCATCATTGACAGAACCACAACAATATTTTATAATAAATAAAAAAAATTATTAAAATTGTTTTCATTTCGTGATTCTGATTCTCAATATTGCTAATGTTTGAATAAATCAAGATTATTATAAGGTAAAAAATGAATTTTTAGGCCCCACTGTGTCATTAAATCACGCGTGCGTTTTATTAGAGTATTGTTTACTTACTGGTTTCGATTGGATGGATTTGCTTTTCTGCCTAAGACCGGCTATGATCGAAACACTCTGCGAGCGATTGGATGCCTCCTATAATAGGCAACCACCAGCTATACAACAGTATTATTACATACAATTTTTATGTATTAAAATTTCACTCTACAGGCAAGTAAAGTTAATTGTTTGCAATAAAAATGTTTTTGATGTAAAATAAAACATGAATTATATTTTTATGATCCACAGAATGCTCGCAAATGGACAAGATAAGGCGGCTGATTTATCTTCTTTACTGATGATAAATTCAATATCAGCAGCATTCAAGTCGTTACTTAGGCCATCAGAACTTATTTCTCAGGACAAGGGCCCTGCAGAAAGTTTAGCAGTGGTAATTAATGATGCTATTGCTGATGTGGACAAGGTTTGTGAATTAACAGTTGTAATGTAATTTTATGTAAAAATTGTTTTAATAAGAGGAATAAAAAAAATACTTGAATAATTTTGATTTTACACAGATATTGCTGCATCTGGATCCTAAGGAATTTACGGTAGAACCCAGTACTCTTCAGTCATTACAACAGTTAATTCAGTGGGTTGCTGATTTAGCGCTGAATTTACTAGTTCGACTTCCCGAACAACGTATGCAAACAAAGACTACTGGAGTAAGTTTCCTGCTAAGAATTTATATTTTTCACTGAGATTATTTGACAAAATCAATGAAAAGTACCGTTTCTGTTTTATTTATTTTAATTTTATTGCAGTATGAACTATTGAGAGATCATAAGGCTTTAAATACAGTTCGCGAATTATTAGTAATTATTCGCATATGGGGCTTACTACGTTCATCGTGTTTGCCTGTCTTTCTAAGGAGTGTTGACAATTTGGATGTTTTGGCATTACTGTTTCGTCTCTTGTCAAAACTTGTTCCTCCCAACGGTAATGGAGAATCTCAACAAATCGATGATGGCTTAATAGGTAAGTTAGTATTTATTTAGTCATTTCCTGACTTCTTTTTACTTTTTTGCCTCAAAAAAATAGAAATTTCATTAAAATTATTGTAAATACTAATTGAGTCTCCATTAACACTAGAACTACCGAAGATCTTGCATACCTAGAACTACCACCCGGGACGTTTTGTCCCATGATTCATTTATGTTTTTCTTATTAATATTTACAAGTTAGAAAAATAAAATGATACATGATTTTAATTGGTTTTTTTGTGTAGATTACGAACTTGAAGTCGGAAATACTCCAGCATTTTAATTTTTCACTAAAAAATAGGTTTGAGTGATAAAAAACGGCCTTTTTTATGTTAACTTTAGAGCAATATAGAAAATTATCCCGAAAAGTTACAAACTTTTGGTAGGCCTTGAAATAATAAATAAACCTTCAACAATAAATTATGTATATGGAAAACCCAAAACTTTAACTAATATTTTGCCAAAAACTATTTTTTGATAAGCGCGTTTCACCAGCAGTTTTGTACACTAACCGTCCGCTGCGCTGCTTCCCATGTAGATTTGTATCAAAAACGCTTGTCTTGTAAATATTAATATAGGCAATTACAATACAAAATAACCATAATTCCACATATATTATCATTGTTTATACTTTCTAATAACTGTACACAATGATTATTTTTCAATTTTGTAATAATAATTGTTTTTAACAATATTAATTAACTAATTATGTCGGTAGTTCTAGGTATGCCGGTTCAGATCTAAGGTTGTAATAATGATAAAAATCTGAAATTTTGTATACTGATTAAACTCAACAAAAAAATAAAAGTCAGAAAATTTCAGCCCTCTAGCTAGTCATTAACGTAAGATACACTAGAACAAACATGCGCGCTTGGACAATTTTTACAGTCGGTAGTTCTAGTGTTAACCATAGAATAGGAAAGTCAATTTTTCCAACTGTAAATAACACTTTCGGGTCCTAAACAATTTTGTCATTCTTATGAAATTTGAATAAGTCATAAATATATTTTTAATAACAGGAAAGCTGTTATTTGAAGACTCTAAAACAATTTAAAACAAATATTCTACAAAAAATATAATTCCTGAATAAGCATTTACTTGTTTTTCTTCTAAATTGGTGCACTTCTTTTTTTCAGATGAATGTTGTTTGCTGCCGAATCAAATACTTGTGCCACAGTTACACCAGCCTAATAACATTATCGAAATTGCGTCACCTTCACTATCTTATCAAAACTTTCCTCTTCAGGTAGGGTTTTTATTTTTTATTACTTTGACAAAAATTGTTAAATATAGTTTTAAATACGTTGTCAATCGGATTTTTTCTTTAAGAATTGCAAAATGAAACATATTTCCTCAATTTTTTTTATAAATTATTCTTTTTGGGCAATATTATACATAAGGCAAAAATTTCTCAAGTTATTCAACTTTTTGACAAAATAATGTCAATAACTTTTTAGAATATCATTTTTTTTTGTAATTTAAAGATCAGATTCTGAAAGAGCGATTGAAAAGCCATAAATAAAATTACTTCTAAAATTTTTTTAATATGCAAAATCATAGAGGACGATGGCCTTACAAATTTTTTTAAAAAACTTGTCCTAGGCGTTAAAGGGTTAAAAAAATTTCTTAGCCGTCTGTAAAAGTGCACTAATCTTCTCATAGAATACCAAATCTAATTTAAATAATGTCTTATTATTATATTTTGATGAAACTGTCGTGAACTCGTTTATGGTAAGCAGGAAATTCATAAATTCCAATTTGTCGATCTCAGTTATATAAATATTTCTTGGGAGAATTGCATTTGTTTGTTCTATAATAATATTTGCCAGATAACTTGCTTAATAATTAGTATCATATGAAATTTTTACAATTAGTGTTATTTATTTGTTATGTATGTATATTTACTTTTGATTTTTAATATTAGTTGGAATACGGAATGGAACCCGATATGTTATTATTCGTTCCTGAGCTAAGTCCAGTTGAAGGATGCGTGCAAAGTGGACAGACTGTTGATATAATAAGGCATCTTTACCTTGGAAAGAAACCTCTTTTTGAAAAGCAGTGCACAAGGTAAACTAACATTAAGTAACTCTTAATTTTTCCAACATTTTATTGTTTTATGTTATTTTGGGTAACTCCTGCAAGAAAAGCGTCACTTTACTTTAATGTAAATGCAGTACAAAGTTGTTGATTTCTGCACTTTTAGACACTTTTCTGCATTCAAATCAATACTTTGTTGGACTTTCTCAGCTTTATTCAGATATTATTTCCATATTATTTTCTGAGTAATTTGCACCTAAGATGAAAAAAATCGGTAGAGAGATTTTCGAATAAAGTCAATTTTTGTGTATTTTTAACTTTTTATAGTAGGGGAGAGTCCCCTGTTATGCAGCACTTGTCATTTTGTTCGTGTTTCTTTATCTATTTATATGAAACTTATGTCTACTTTTGGTCACGTTATAAGAATGTTTTTGAGCAAACACCAATCCGCCAAATATTGTTTAACCTTTTGTGAGCACTATGTGAAAAAAACGCTTCAATGATTTTTCCCGTTTTATAACAAACTGATTCTTTTACTTGTTTATCAAGCAAAACTAACGAGGTTAAAAAATATTTACAAAATGTAGAAACTCAACTTTAGTCCTATACTTCATGATGCAAAATAAATTTTTGAAAAAAATAATTGAATCGAAAAAAATTATGAGGTCATTTGCAAAATTGTCCCAGACCCGGTTATGCAGCACCCCAAATAATTTTTTTTTTTTTTGTAGTTTTATGATCAAATATTGACTTTAATTTTATATTTAAGTAATTTAAAAAGCATCTGATTGAATGTTACGGATATAAAAGTAATAATCAAATTATTAAAATAACGTCAATATAGAGAATTTCATGTCTAATTTTATGTGCCTTTAAAGCTTTATATAATATTAAACACTTATAAAATATAAATTTATAAAATCTGTAAATGTTAAAGGCTTTTATACTAATTAAATAATATAAAAATTTACATTTATATTTGCATTTCTTCATATTTTTACATTTTTGGAAGTGCACAACAGGGGTCATATTTTATTTGGTCCGAAAACACAACTTTTTGAAATTCTTTCATAATTCTTCTGTTTTAAAATAAAAAAATCTTGTTTCTTAAACAAAAGTTAGGTATTTACTCTAGCTTTAAAATGGAACCTCAACAATCAAAATTTGATCATCAAATTTTGGTTTTTTTCCTTGTTGCAATTTTGCTGAATCTAAAAAAACACATTTTCGAAGTGTGGCATCACTTAAATTCACCTGTAGGAAAATCAGCTAGTCCAAATATAATAAATAATATACCGTTGGAAACGTCATTAAATTACCTTTTGAGCCGTTGGTCGTAGAATAAAATCCAATAAAAATTGACCGACTTATATTTGATCAAAGTTCAAATTTCATGCAAATTTTGATGATTTTTAGATACTTGTCTAACTTCTGCTAATTTTTTCTAATTCAAACAATAAAAAAAGTTCATGTTTTAAATTTTTTATCGATAGTCTATTTTACTACGAAAATGTTGAGCTCAAGTAAAGCACAATCGGACGAAAAATAAAAATTCTATACTAGGTTCAATGAACAAAACAATTTTTTCATTTTTAGTAACCTCTCAAGTGATTCTTTGATAAAACTTTAAATATTTTTTAGTATCATGTGACATGGTCCACAAATTTATTCTACTTTGTAAAAAAATGTTTTGTGCAATAAATCAATACCAATTTCATAATCATTGAAATAAAAAAGAAAAACGTTTGCACACGGAGAAGAAAATCAAGCGAATGTAGTAGCGACAGTAACTATACTACTTTCGTGTGTGTGCTTTCTACGATATTTGCAGGGATCTATACTCTTTTGGTATAGGATCATGCAAATTGGGTATGTTTTTCTACGAATATCGTAGAAAGCGCACGCGCGAAAGTAGTATAGTTACTGTCGCTACTACATTCGCTTGATTTTTTTCTCCGTGCAGTGATATTTGCAGCAAAAATGCAAACTATAAAATAAAGTTGAGCTAAGGTTTTAAAAATCTCTAATTTAGAGTTTTTGGGTGGATAATTACGAGTCCAGGTGTCAGTTTTAAAAATTTTTAGATTTTGTCTGCCAAAAAAACGAATTTTTAATTTTTTGAATTTTCAAAAACTGAAACCTGGACTCGTAATCAGCCACTCCAAAAACCCTAGTTTAGATATTTTTAAAACCTTAGCTTAACTTTATTTTATAGTTCGCCTTTTTGCTGCAAATATCACCGCAAACGTTTGTTCTTTTTTAATATTATCATTACGAAATTGGACGAGTGACAGTGAATCTCTGCAGGAGCCTCTTAAAAAATGAATTTGCAGTGTTCAATGTAACTCGCAACAGAATCATGTAAAACATAAAAAAAAATTCTTTTGTTAAACGAGATGTTTTTCAAGGTAACTACGGGAGGATTTTTTTTTTATTTTTCGCAGCACTTAAAAAAAAGCTCCCGCAGATGACTGGGGAAGTAACGGGGAAGCACTGACCTTAAAAAAGTCATTTCGAGAAAAACGTCATTTTAAATTTTGAAAATTTTTAAATCTGACTTTAGATTTATAATCAGCGACCCCAAAAACATATATACAACGGACACTTGAATGCTCATAAATTCGTTAATTTTTCTTCGATCGATTTAAAATTTTCATACAATATTCTTGAAATATTATACATTCATTTAAAAAAAACAAAAATAATGCAAAAAAAAATTAAATAACATAACCCCCCCTTAAAAGTTTACTAAAAATGAACAGGTTGTTTAGTTCACTAAATCTAGAGTTGAATTTTTATTTTTCATCCGATTGTGCTCTATTAGGGCTCAAAATTTTTGTAATAAAATAGACTATCGATAAAAAATTTAAAACATGAACTTTTTCTATTGGATTGATAAAAATTAGGTGAATTTGTACAAGTGTCTAAAAATCTTAAAAATTTGCATAAAGAACTGTGATACGTCTGTCAATTTTTTTTGGATTTTATTACATGATCCACGGTTCGAAAGGTAATTCAATTACATTTTCAATGGTATATTATTTACTATATTTGTACTAGCCGATTTTCCTACAGGTGAGTTAAAGTGACGCCACACCTCGAAAATGAATAATTAACAGATTTATCAAAACTGCACAAAGGAAAAAAATTGAAAATATGTTTTTCTTCCTCCTTATGTTCCCCTTTCCTATCCATTTTCATGGAATAATCATACGTGCCAATAATTTTTTTGAATAGAAAGAATTTTTATATGTTTTTTTAATAATAGTTTTATTTTGTGGCATAGATGTGGAGGCAAAGCACAAGTTTACAATATGACGAGGACGGCTGCCATAAGAGCTTGGGACCAAAGATGGGCATGTTCCTGTAGATGTGGTGGTTTATGGCGCATACATAAAAATAAAATTTAAAAAGTACATTTTTCTCATTATAGCTATTGTTTTTTTCTATTCACCAATGTACATATTTATGCAAATATTAATAATGTAAAATTGTTTTATTTATAAACATTTATATGACTCACTTCATTATATTTATTTCAAATTTATACAATAAAAAGACACTAAAATAATTTAGAAAATATAAATTTCTTTACATACATTAAGAAATGTAAAATATTGCGTGAAGTTTGAATTTTAAACTTATTTATAAAATGACAAAATTCAACAACGGTTAATTATAAAAAGAATTAATTTTAAAAAATTTTTCAGGGTCTTTTTTTACGGAACTCTAACAACTGTTAAATCATTCTTTTCTCCATACAACTAAACTTTAAAATTAAAATAGTAAAATAAATGCAACAAATTTTATTTTTAAGTAAATATACAATTAACATTTTAATTAATTTATATAAATTATTTAAATTAATCAAAAGTTGCTAAAAATAAGTCTCATATCAACATTTTGGATGAAATATAAATTGAGTGATTCATATAAATCATTTTTCTAAAATTAAATTAAAATTATTAATTAAATTAAATTAAAACTAAATTATAATTTATAGGGAAATAATAACTAATGTTCTTTTCGAAAGATAAATAATTTTACAAATAATATTCTATATTTATTTCCAAACTATTGGTACAAATTAATTGTTATTCAGAATATTTTGAAATATTTTTTTAGGGCAAAACATGAAACTCATGGCTGATAAATTAAAAAAAAATGAGTAGGTTTTTACAAATTAAATAGAAGAATATTTTTCGCATATATTTAGAAAAATTCTGTGTTATAAGATTTTTTCTAGAAGAGGTTTCACTTTTAAGAAACTGCAATCTTTCTTTCATTTCAATCGAATGAATCGGCACACTTTTTACAAACATTTAGAATATTTTTCTTTACTTACAAACAGAAGTAGCGGAACCATTTTTCGTCTCTCTCATTTATTAAAAGATTTAAATTTATTTAAGTAAGAGTAAGGAAGACACGCATAAATAATTGACTGTTCGCAACCTGCATTCATCTTGCTAAATCTAATTTACTTAAATTTATATCTTTTAATAATATTAACATGCAAACAACTTTTATGCCATAATTCAAAATTTCGTTTTAGAAAGAAAAATAACTTTAAAATTATAATGGTCTAGAGGAAATCAGTGACTCTCTCCTTTCTTTCCTGCAACTCGTTTAAATTCGCCCATGTTAGTAGTATTGATTGGTGTTCCAATAATGGCTAAATGATCGATTTGAGTCGTTTCTGAACCGCTTTGATTGTCCTTTACGAAAATCTGCAGGTTCTGCACATTTTGGAATTTTACGTAACGCAGTTGAACAGGATTGCCTTCTTCCACTTCTTTCATTGTAAATCTGAAATTTTAATTTAATTCAATTATAAAAAATTGCATTACAAACCAGTTCACTTTGTGGAGACAATAAATTAATAACATAAATAACAAAATTCATCTCATTAACGCCTAAAATTAGTGAAATTGAGAATTACATTGAAGGTAGAATTTTAATTTTTTTAAGTATCTCTAAGCATTTAAATAAGTCAATCAATACTTTACTCATCGAGTAAACTACAAAAAGTGACTGTTGGATTTATTTCAATAAATAAAAATAAATAAAAAGTAAAAATGTATGCAACGCTTTTAAAAAATTAGTAATTATAAAAAATTTACAAAAACCGTTGCCGAGTTATAGTACTGATGATTTTCCTTTAGGAGTACGATTTATATTTTTTTTCATGAACAATTTGCTTCCTCAGAGATTAAAGTCAATTAAAATTAATAATATTTCCATCATAATTAATTAATTATGAATTTTGAAAATCTGACATCAGATTAATAATCAGCGACCCCGAAAATCCCCAGATACCAAGTTTTATAAAATATTAATAATTTTGCTTCCTCGTGGAGGAAGCTTTGTAGTCCTTTTGTTTATAAAATTTTTAAAAATGGTGAAAACAAATTTTCCTCTATATAGAAACATGATATATGAGATCCTGCTCAATTGTCCGGATGTATGTATGTGTGGATCTTTTTTGTGAACCACGATATCTTTAACAGGTTTCAATGGATTTGGGTAAAATTTGTGAGGCTTAATTATCACATTAACCTCTCAAAAATGACGAGAGGATTTTTAAAAATACCCAAAAAAAAAATTTTATCATCTTTTTTCCAACAAATTTTTTTTAATTGAAAAAATTTTTAAATAGAAAAATTTAAGGTGGTATATAATAAAATCGTCCTCTTTACGTCGAGACGAATCGATTGATATATATAAAGTATAGATTTAATTTAAATTTTAAGAATTAATGAAAATTGAAAAAACAAAAATTCATATTTTAGCTAAAAAAAATTATGTTTATTTAAATTCAAGTTAATACATAAAATAGTTGTATTTCTTGCATTAAAACGAATCGATTCTACACCCAAAATTAATTAAAATTTTCTTAGTTTTTCAAAAAATTTAAGAAATTTAAAACAGTTTTTAACTCAAAATGTTTTAAATCAATCAATTGAATTGGAGAAATTCATTGCTTCCTCCACGAGGAAGCAAATTTTTTGTTCCACATAATGAGGAAACAAAATGTTTATGAAATAAACATAAAGTACCCTCTCCTTGTTCTTAAAGTTATGGGCAAAAAACGTTTTTTGAAAATTTTAAAATTAAAAAAAAATAGTTATACTTGATTAATCGCGGTCAAAATACTTCTATGACATGTTTCTCCAATGAGATCTACAATTTAAAAAAATCAAGTCAGTATCTTTTGTGCACAAAATCTTTAGAGCATAAATAACTGAATATTTATACAAAAAACTGTTCTTGAATATAATCACTGGAAATAAATATCTTCGAAATATGGCCAAAAATCGCACTTTAATTTTTTCCTCTATGAGGAAGCAAAAAATAAAACAAAACTCTAAAAGTTTAACAAGTCTGTTCCAGTTTAACCCATTTCGTTGAAGAAATCAATCGAAGATCAGGAAAAATATCATTAGGCAGTAGTGTATAAATTTAAAAGTAAAGTTCTTTTTTTAATTTTGTGGTTTTGTATGGTCTAAAACAATCCTTATATTATGTGAGAAAAATTTCGGCGCGTACAGTAAATTTCAGTGCGTAAAGTAATATTTCAGTGCGTAAAGTAAAATTCAGTGCGTAAAGTGAATCACTTTACACACCGTTTTAAAAAGAGCTTCTTTACACACACTTTTCGGTGTGTAAAATTTAACTTTAGAGGTTAGTATTGAAAAAAAATATATTAACGTGGAGAGAATTACATAACGCTCAAGTTTTCTTAGTAATATTTTATTTAATTTTCAGCAGGTTTTGCAAAAAAAAAAATAAAAACTGCAAAATCGTGACAACCTGAAATCAATAAATTTTTGAAACATATATCACTATATCTCCCTTTTTGTAAATGAAATTTTTTGTTACTTTGTGCTTAAATAAATTTTGAGTTGACGAAACCGTTGGATTTAACAAAATTCAAAATATTTTACTCCTTTATATTATTTTTTAATACAAAATGTTTTATTTTGGGCTTTTATTATTTCGCCAAGAAAAAGTAAGAGAGAAAGTTTTACCAACGAAAAACTTCCAGCGACAAAGTTGTTCCTTATGGTATGGAGAAGTTTTTCCTGAACTTTCAGATCGTTAAGTCAAAAACTGTAAAAATTATAAATATTTTTATTCGAGCATTCGTTACATGAAAAGTAACCTGTAAAATGAAATGTGAGCGAACAGAATAATGAACGAAGAGAAGTATTCACATAATGAAAATCAAAAAATAAGCGTCACAGAATTAGTTTTCAAATAATTTTGATTAAAAATTGTAAAAAATAATTAATGAGAAAACAATATTTAAAAATAAAAATGTCGAAATAGTAAAAGCAGTTTTTATTTTTTTTGCAAAACCTGCTGAAAATTAAATAAAATATTATTAAGAAAACTTGAGCGTTATGTAATTCTCTACACGTTAATTTTTTTTTCTCTTTTGAGACATTTTATTTTTCAGATAACTTTTCCGTTATCTCTCAACATTTTCAAAATGTACGGATTAAAAAAATTGGCATAAGATGTTCTTATGTATTTTTTAGTCCTCTTTCAGAATCTACTAGAAAATTTAACTTTTGACTTAAGGATAAAAAGTTATAATTGTTTTAAAAAAAAGACGAATTTTTATGGTTGTTTTCATTAAAACTATATTTTTGATTCGAAGTCGCGTCATGAAAAATTTGGAATGGCAAAATATCGCGTCCAAAATGTCTGCCAATTGAAAATGGACACCAAAATGTCTGAAATTAAATCTTGCAGTTCCACTATTAAAAGACTAGACAAACATCTACGAAATTTGTTACTCGGGCGTTTTCGAGTTTGCTGATTCCGAATTTGAATTCAGTTTTTCAAAATTCAAAATGTCGGACGAAAAAATAGTGCGACCGCCAAAATGACTGAAATTTAAAAAAGACTTTAATGGAAACTGTTAGCTGTGTGATAAATTTATTTTTAAATTATTTAAAACGTTTATTAGTTGTCGAAAATGTCGCCGTTGAGTTGCCCAATTATCAAATGTCATCAATAATGTTAATTTTATAATGAATTCAGTCATTTGCAATAGAAAATGAGCTTAGTATTTACTTTGTCTGTCATTTTAGTGACCGTACTATTTTTTCATCAACCATATTGGATCCGCCATTTTGAATTTTGAAAATCTGACTTCAAATTCGGAATCAGCAATCTCAAAAAACCCCCGAGTAACAAGTTTCATCGATATTTGTCTAGTCTTTTAATAGTGGGGCTGAAAGATTTAATTTCAGACATTTTGGAGAAGCCATTTTGAATTTTGAGAATATAAAAAGTTTTTTATAATCACGAAATGAAATGGCAGACATTTTTGACGCGATATTTTGTCATCCAAATTTTTCCAGACGCGACTTCGAATCAAAAATATAGTTTTAATGAAAAAAACCCAAAAAATTCGTCTTTTTTTTGTTTAAACGTTTTCATTTTTTTTAATTGACTTTAGAAAAACATCTAATTTCTTGGTACTTTGACCCATAAAAGTTGCTATACTTAATTTCCACGTGGATAAAAACACATTTTAACTAAGAAATTTTTGTACAGCTTACTTCAAAAACATTCCAGGCAGTTTTTTTTATTAAAAATTCTACATTCAATGTAATTCTAAATTTCAGTGATTATAGGCGTTAATAGATTAATAGGACACCTTGAGACACAATTTTCTAGCATTTTTTTTGAATGAACTACAAAAAAAAATTATCGAAAGAGTATATTTTATATAAAGAGTATAAAATTACTAAATTAGCGAAAGAGTTGATAAAAAATTCTGAAAAAATTTCATGAAGCTGGTCTTTAATGCATTTCCGGTCATGTTTGTCAACAAAATTCCCGAAAAAATAAAAAACTTTTTTTTATTAAAAAACTCTCAAAATTTCTGCGGCTACTAAATACTATGACTTTCCTTCCATTGTCTGCCAAGAAAACAAAAAATAAAAATATTTCTCCTACGCTACCAGTGAATTGTGATATTGCTCGGAAATTTCTTGTAACTCGAAAAGTGACTTAGGGTTCACAACACTTCCACAAATTATAATGAAAAGGAATTTTGAGGGAACATTACATTTTTATTTAAACTTCTTTTTGGCGCACCTTGTCTTGGACTACACAAATTAAATTATAAAAAAAGAACACTTACGTAATATCTTGAGTGCTGGTGTTGGAATCTGCCATATCAAAGTCAATTGTCCTAGGTTGATTAATAAACAACTTTACGATTTTGGGACCTTTGTCCGACGGAGCCTTAATTTTTAAAGAATGCACTTTAACAGCTTGCGTAAAAGTAAAAGACATGATAAGTTGTTCATCGCAGTCACTTTCCAAGTAGCCATCGTCTGCCGATAAACATTGAATTAAGGGATGCTCGTCAGATTCGTTTAAACACTCACACTGTGTCTTTACTATAAAACTGCTCAAGTCCATCTATAAAGCAAAACGTTGCAACTTATGACAGAATAACATTTTTCCCGAAAAACAAATAAACACAAGAAAAATATTTTGTTTATTCACAATTAAAATTAGGCCATCTCTTTAATAATGTCAACAAGGAGATTAAATAGTGAAAATGATTTTAATGTTATAAAATTAATTAACTTAAATATATATGTTTAATTTAAAATGTAGAATTTAAATTTTACAGATTTAAAGGATTTAATTCTTGGTCTTTTATTATTATTTGTTTTTTTATTTTTAATAATGTATTACATTTCTTCTTTGACCCCCTTCACCATACGTTCTATATAAAAAAAATTGATGTAATACAGCAAACTTTTATTCTTAAAAGGAAAAAACTATTCTTAGTAACGTGATAAGAGACCTTCCTCTTCAAAAAACATTGTTTTGAAAGTCTTAGAGGACTTCGAGGCTCTGGGGTTTTATCAAGTACTAATGTAGTGTTAGTAACGTCACTAATTATTGTGATAACAAAATTATTCTTAAAGTCGAGATACTGGATATTGGAAGTTTATATTTGAAATTGCAAAAGTATTAAATTTATAAAACATTTTGCAAATAATAAAACGTTTGGTAGGTACTTTTTAATACCCACTGCCTACTGTATAGACTTAAGAAAAGTTTAAAATGAGTTTAAAATGTCAGTAATATAAAAAACTTATACCTTAAGATTGTGGTATTCTTATTGGTATTGGCTAAACTTCAATACGCCATCTGGTGTTAACCTACTTCTGACAACCATTTACTTTTTTGTCTTTCTTTAATTAACACGATAGAAAGAGAAATAAAAACCAAAATGTCTGAAGAAGTAGGTAAAAGTCACTAGACTGTCAATTCCAAGTTTTTTAGAAAACTATTTCTCTTTTATTATAATTTTTTCCTTTAGGTATAAACGAGCATTTTGAAAAACGTTGATTTGTTTCTAAAATTAGAGAGTTTAAAAACCAGTTACGAGTGTTTTAAAGATATGTGACCTGGATCACAGATCTCTAACTTCAATCTGAAATTCGATTTTTAAAATTCGCTTGTAATTCATTATTATATTCAGGGGTTTTTGAGGTTGCTTCTTACGAATCTGACAGTAGTTTTTAAAAATTCAAAATAGCAAATCCAATGTCGGAAAAATTTAAAAAATTAATGCGATTCGCTTAAAATTTGTTACTAGTTTTTGGGAGCCTTTAATTAAGTAAGATCAAAATAAGGAGTGAGGACAAACAAAATTCCTAATAGTAGGGGAGCCCAATGTGTTTTATGGGATTAACTCAAGCGCGCAGATGAACACAGAGGGGGATACCTTGCATGTTGTTGAGTACCTCTTCCAAGTATTAACTCTTTTTATCAAGACGTGCGTTTAGGATAGTCCATCAGATTAGTAAAAAAAATCGATGGTTGGAGATATTGAAACGCATCAGATTAAGGTAAGGTGGATTAATTACTAGCTAAAAAATGTACATTTAAAAATCTGACGATTTGAGCGTAACGTAAGGGAGCGAGAGGGTTATAAATTTGCAAAAAAAATGTTGTCTTGACATTCTCGAGCGCGGTTAAATTTTTTTTTTAATTTGAAGGAAATAATACAAGAATCACGAATAAAATATAATCTAACGATTTCCAAAAGGTAAAGTAATGAAAATCGTCTATGGAGAGTAGAGCGCGAAACTGGAATACAACACGTATTCCCCACTCCGTACCTCACCTTCCTTTTCCCTATTTCTGACTCTCTCGCACAATCCCGATTCCTGAACTGCTTTCCGTCGCCATAACACCATTACAGCTGATCACAAAACAGCTGTCAGATTAACAATATTCCTCAAAATAATAGTCAGATTTTGGGCTATCATGACTGCAGCATCAAGCTAAACCATTTGTATAAAAATCTGACACGCTCAAGTATGGTGGTTTTTTTTGCATTTTCAAAAATTCGCTACGAGCTTGCGTCACTTCGGAAACGTCAGTCTTTTGAATGGGGGCATTTTTAGGGTTCATTTAACATTCTTCCTAAATATCTGACGCGCTCGAACAAGATTTTTTTTATATTTTGTATCCATCCGAATAGCCACCAGCACCACGCAAACCGCCAGATGAACATACCTTTGGTATCAGAGACACGTTGGAGTATCAAAACTATTAATATCGGACACGCTCAAGTATTTCCATGTAATTGTTTTTCTTAAATTTTTAAAAATTTGTATACGCATAACGCACCACTGAAAGGGAAAACTTTATAGAACCTTTTATTTTCCTGATCATCTAAACTACAAAATATCATCGTCCCGACGACGCTCGAGTAAATCCTTATTTAGCATCATGGGCTCCCCTACTATAAGTAGTTAGGTATTGAGTCTAATAAAATGTGCATAAAGTATATGAATTTAAGCTCTGTAAAATCACTGTAAAACGGACATATTAAATTCATTTTAAACTTAGCTTAATTTCACAGAATAAGCTTACGAATACGACATGAGCTTAATATGACATGTAAGCGTAAGAGGGGTACACCAGATGTAACTTTCGAAAAATCGATCTTTTTTGCATTTTCTTAAACTATGTGTTTTTAGAAGTGTGTCTGTAAATTTTTATGATGACCCAAGTAGCACGGAATATTGCTTGAATGTCAAGGTGATATCAAGCGAGAATATTCTTGTGACATTCAGGCGCAATCATAATGTCCGCTTCATGGGAACATTCCTGTGACATTCGCGTGATATTCGTATGATACCGAGGGAATATTCCTGTGAAATTCATGTAATATTGAGAAGATATTCCTGTGATATTGAAGAAATATTCCTCTGATATTGAGGGAATATCCCTGCGATATTGAAAGAATATTCCTGTTATTTATAAAATTCTAAAATGTTATTTGTTTTGATTGTTTTGAATATTTAAATAAAAAAATAAATAAATGTCTCCATGAAGCGGGCATTATGATATTGCCTGAATGTCACAGGAATGTTCCCACTTGATATCACCGTGACATTCAATCAATATTTCGTGTTACTTGGGGATCTGGTGAAAAATTGATTTTGAGGCGCGCAAGATAGCTACAGATCAGACGGCAGACACACCAAGCACCAAATACAATAGCAGTCCCCATTTTATCATCCACATCGTGAGAAAAGAATTGAAAGAATTGTTATATGGTCCAGGAATTGACAACTCATTGTAAAATCAAAAAAAATTCTTTTGAAAAAAAAGTTAAATCTTTAAATATATTTTTCTCAAAATGACATTTTTAAGGTCAACGATTTCTCGAACACCATTAATCCGATTTACTTAAAATTTATTATGCATTATTTACACATATATTTAAAAAAATCATGGTTTATTAAGAAAACATTCTTAAAAAAGGTAATGCCTAACTCTTGAACAACAAAATGATAAAAAAAATATTAAAAGAAATCTATTAATGTGGTTTTTGTTTTGAAGTCGGTAAAAATAAATTAAACCGTAGAAATAAATTGAAATCTATCGAGTATCTCCCTTTAAGAATGTATTCCAAAAATATAACACCGCGACAATAGACAGCATGCCAAAGATGTGAAGGTAGACATTGTCAGAAGAGCGTACATGTCCAGCAACGGATCCCTCGGTGTCGTCGGCATCGCCGTTTCCATAACATTCTTTGATTTTTGATTCTAGATCAATTTCATTAGCTCCTTGGCAAATTCCTACTCTAGTTCGATTTTTGAAGAAAATAAAAGTAGGCATTGCAGTGACACCCTGATTCATGGCAGTGTTAGGACACTTGTCAACGTCAATCTTTAAAAATATGGCATTTGGATACTTCACCGATAACCGATCGTAGATTGGAGCCATTCTTTGACATGGACCGCACCTAGAAAAAAAATATAAATAGATCATTTTACTATGTTTAACCTAAAGTCATTGCGGTCTTTTTTTATATAATTTTGATATGTTGTAGATGTAGAGGAGAGTGCTTAACAATGAGACATCTTTTCCCAAGTTTAAACTCTTTTCCAGACAAAGCATACATTCTATTAAAATTATATTGTGATTAAATAGAAAATTTTTAAGTTTTTAGAACTTGATACATTTTTCTTGTTTTGTTGATACCTGATCATTCAACCCAATTGACTCACTTCTAGTTTTTCTTGGAGTCAATTTACTTCTGAGAACACGCCCTAGTTTTCGTTTTCCGTGATATAAATAACATGCACATCTAAGATAATTTATTGGAAAAACCTCCGGGTGAACACGATAGCGATATTTTAAAAGTACCTACGTATTCGAGAGCCAAGGTTTGACGAATTTCCTTCGTGGAAAGAATGGTTGTTAAATGTCGCCAATGAAGATACAAAATTTTATTTTAAGTTTGCCGTAAAACCATGATATGTAGAAAATCATAAATTCATAATCATGAATCAAAGGGCCATCAACATTTTTTTTAACTTTTTTGAAAGATTTAAAGTATTTAATACATATCCAAGTCAAGAAGAAGCGGCGACTTTAACAACCCATTCTGATGATAATCTAGAAGTTGCAGCAACTAATTCTAGTAGCATAGATTTTAAATGAAATCGGAGAAAATAATTCTTTTAAAAATAACACTGGGTAACAAAAAAATGGCCATGTTGTGTTTATTTCAAAATTCCTGTGTTTATCGAATATTTGGGTGTCAATGAACAAAAAAATATAAAATAGTTATTTATGATACAAGTGCGTAAAGTGAGTGATTATACGAGTGTGACGTTTGCAGCACGAGTATAATCAGATTTACGCACGTGTATCATACAACATTTTTTGCAACATCCACCTCTAAAGTTAAGTACCTATTATGAGGAATTCCAACTCTCTATTAGAATATTTTCGATTGTATAGAATTAAATAAATCAATCGAAGATCAGGAAAAATATCATTAAGCAGGAGTGTATAAATTTAAAAGTAAAGTTCTTTTTTTAATTTTGTGGTTTTGTATGGTCTAAAACAATCCTTATATTATGTGAGGAAAATTTCGGTGCGTACAGTAAATTTCAGTGCGTAAAGTAATATTTCAGTGCGTAAAGTAAAATTCAGTGCGTAAAGTGAATCACTTTACACACCGTTTGAAAAAGAGCATCTTTACACACACTTTTCGGTGTGTAAAATTTAATTTTAGAGGTTAGTGTTGCAAAAAAAATTTAATTTATTCAGTTCCCTAAAAATGAGGGTTAAAGTGTCGAAAAATGACTTTTTGGGCACTTTTTGAAATACTATAAAATGAAAACGTGAGGGCATAGAAAGCTTTAATAGGGCTGAAAAGAAAGCTTAAACCTTCAACTTTAAAACCCAAAACTGAAATGTCATGTAATAATTGTTGGGAGCCAACATCAAATAAATAATATAATTGATCAAATATCTTATTATAATAGAAACCAATTATATTAATACATTAAAAATAATCAAAAGAAAATTGAAATATCAAAATTAAGTAAGAAAATATAAATTCATAAAATTGTAGTGTACAAACTGTCATTTAGTTGATTCAGTGCTGTTTCGTGATTATCAAAAGAAATTGTGTTTGTGATTAGCTAAATTTTGAGGTATGCTACAGTGCTAATACTTATTATAAAATTAGTATTTTAATAATTATTATAGATTAAAATAAAATAAATCTTAAATTAGTAAAATAAGCATGCATTAATAAAAATTAGAGATATTTTTTTTTATATATAGCCAAAAGAAAATTTTTTTTTAAATTTTTTTTCTATAGATGGCATTAATAATAAAAAAAAGTCAGGCGACGAGTACTGTGTACGATGGCGCAACAGAAGAGGCAGGTCCTCTAGCAATCTCTGCCAGCGACTACTATATAACAAATAGAGTTATAACAATTGAAGTAGCCAATATGGCTACACAAACAAAAAAAGAAGAAAATAGCAACAGAAAAAAAAATTTAATGAAAAGAAATAAACTAAAAAAAAATAAAATGTTAAAAATAAAAAAAAAACCATGAATTACTAAAATTGAAAAAGTTAACCTTAATGTACAACAATATCTGTTCTACAATAAAAAAAACAATAATGTAGAGGAGGAGGAACCTTTTTCTCTATTTGTAAAAATTAATGGGGTGATATATCCCAATATAATCCGCTTAACGGATTATAACGAATAAAAAATTTTTTTTTATATACTTTATTTTTTTTTATGATTATTATTTTTTTTGTCCTTTATTTTTTTTCAAGATGCAACAACAAAACATAAATGAACACGACATTGTAACAGAATATGAACAATATCCCGATATGGTCCTAAATAAAGAAAAGTATAAAATGAGAATAATAAACGCAATTAACCCATCTGCCATCAAAGCTAAATTAATGGATTGAGAGGAAACACAAATTGAAATGAAGAAGGAGATTTTCAACTTTTACAAAGACAAGGAAGACCAATATAGGATTACAAATTTAAACGATAGAATTTTGGCGGTCCCTATTATATACAAAAAAGAGTTAGAAATTTATGAAAAAGGTTATGTTATTTTAATAAATACCGGTATTTAAGATCTAGTGCTAGTATATAACATTGACGAGCATTTGCATACACATATAAAAAAAATAACATTTTTCATATAATATACAAATTTTTGACAATCCCTAAATTCACACTTAATATCGCATTAAGTGATATTTGTCCACCACGACGTGAAATTTGGGAGTCTGGATCAAATTCCAGATTCCAAGACTTTATAAAAAATATTGTGGTAGATTTCCATATAAAAAAATTTGTAAATCACCATTACGTGGGATGGGCAAAAATGAATCAATTATTCTCACCTGATGATTGGCTAGTGGAAAATGAACTAGCTATAATCAAACCAGACTCTTACGATTTATATATTAGTCACGAAGAGGTGGAAGAGGATTATGATGAGGACGAATTTGAGGATGTACCCATAAGAGCCCCAGGAGCATAATAGCTCAGTAGTGTAAACATCATAAATAAAATTTTTTTTTCTCTTTATAAGCGAATGAATTTATTCATAAACTAAGAAATTCAATCGTTTAGAGGGGCATTTTGGAGTCAAATTTTGTAAATTTTTCTTTAAAAAAAATTTTTTTTTCTCTTTTTTTGCCAATTGAAATTAATTTTTTTTTAAAAACAAATAAAATTCCTTTTATGTTAAAAGAATTCATTTGTTTAAGGGGGCATTGAAATGGTATTTTAATAGTCAAAAATTTTATTACAAAATAATTATAAATTATTTAAAAATTATAAATTAATAAATATTAAAAATAAAATTATACAAAGAAATGAAATTAAAACTAGATAAATTGAATTTCTGAAAATAATAGAAAGAGAGAGAAGATATCTATAGATAACACAATGAAAACATAAACAGGAAAAATAATAGAAAGAGAAGGTAGATATAAATACGAATTAAGAGAATTATTAATTTAATTTAAATTTAAAGTTTTTTTACAAATAAGAATTTTTATAGATTATTATTTAAAGAGTAAATTTATTTTATATTTCTTTCTTTAAATTATTTAGAAAGTGAAATAATAAAAATTATTTTTAAAAATTGCTGAAATTAATAATAATTAAATAAAATTATATGTTATATTAAAGTAAAAATTATTTTAAAATTATTTAACTTTTACCATTAATTTTTAAATAATTTTTACTTTAATATAACATATAATTTTATTTAATTATTATTAATTTCAGCAATTTTTAAAAATAATTTTTATTATTTCACTTTCTAAATAATTTAAAGAAAGAAATATAAAATAAATTTATTCTTTAAATAATAATCTATAAAAATTCTTATTTGTAAAAAAAAACTTTAAATTTAAATTAAATTAATAATTCTTTTAATTCGTATTTATATCTACCTTCTCTTTCTATTATTTTTCCTGTTTATGTTTTCATTGTGTTATCTATAGATATCTTCTCTCTATTTCTATTATTTTCAGAAATTCAATTTATCTAGTTTTAATTTCATTTCTTTGTATAATTTTATTTTTAATATTTATTAATTTATGATTTTTAAATAATTTATAATTATTTTGTAATAAAATTTTTGACTATTGAAATACCATTTCACTGTATTTAACGCATAACCCCTTAACGTATAATTGAATTTATAGTTCAAAGCTTTGAGAATGTATGCTTGATAAAAACAATCGGATTTGCTTCAAAATTGTCACTTAGAAGTTTTTTGGGTTGCTGATTACAAATTTGAGGTTAGGTTTTAAAAATTAAAAATAGCGGATTTAAAATGGCGGACAATATTTTTAAAAACCGTTTAAATTGTCTTGAGCATTGTTACTCGGTGGTTTTTGGGGTCCCTGATTACGAATTTGAAGTCAGATTTTCGAAATTCAAAATGGTGGATCCAATATGGCTCTCGAAAGTCTTTCGACAAATTCATTGAAATTTTTTTGAGATGTATGAAATTCAACAAGTAACCCCTGTATTGGTGTTAAGACGCAAATATACCATGAATGACGCAATTTTTGAGCAAGTCGTCTAAGCATAACCGCAACTAACTATACTTGCCCCATCCTCCCCTACTAATTTATTTTAGATCACATTATTTCCATATAAGAAAATTCTATTAAAAATGAGTTATAATTTAAGTATTAGCATTATATAAATTATATTAGTTTGTTAAAATAAATTTGCTATATCAACATTTTTATTTAATTTATTTTTAAAAAAATTGGAATGTATAAAAAGTTCACTTGATTAAAATTTAAGTTCATGTCATTCTAAATTAAAATGTCGAAGTTAATAGACTTCAAATATAAAATTAGGTATTAAAATTCATATAGCATTGGAAAATTTTGTAATTTTTATTCATTGACACTATTAATCATTTAAAACTCTTTA